GAACTTGCTTTTTCTTGACTCCATAAGCCCGAATTCATTGTGATTAAAACTTCTAAAGCTGCACAGAAGTCTTCAAGAAAAATAAGTTGTTAATTTGCGTGCACTGATCTTGACAAATTCTACTGGAGGGTCCAACCTTTGTGAAATAACGCAACATTCACTTTGCAAAGCACCAAATCCAGAGCAGAAAGCCTAGAACAGAAGGGGAAAAAAAAGGCAAAATGAAATTGGGGAACTGCAGCTAGTCTTAGGTAAAACAACAGAAAATCATTTATATCTGTGGCCAGCCCTACTCCTCCTACAGAATAAAAATAGCTCAGCAAAATCCAAGACCATGAACACTGTCTTGAAACAGCCAGCCATGGACACTCCCATTTCTACTTGTTACTGCTGTGTATCTCCTTTCCTTCTCCACCTCCCCGAAGTAAGGGGATATGGAAAAAAGCGTAATGAAATGCAAAAAACACACAAGCAAAAGGAAAAAGACATTTTAATTTCAGATTAGTAAGAATAAATACCTTGCTCAAGTTCACAAACAATATTTTATGGAAGCTTTGCACTACAAAGATCTTTCCCTGTGACTAGTGACTACTTACTTGTGACAAAGTCTACTGCGTCTGTCATCCCGCATAACATTGTGATTTAGTGAAGTAGAAAACTGTGTCAAAATGGAAACTTCAGTAATTTATAACAGCCATTTCTTCAAATAACAGAAACGGACAGCTCCAGTAAGCAATAAACAATGTACGAAAAACAAGTTATGCCTGCATTGCAACATGCAATTCTGAAGAAAAACCTGGAGGCCTTCCTTTTTTCATTTTAGAAAGATAATTAACTTCAACGAAGAAAGAAATGCATCACTTTCAGTTATTAAATGGAAGAAAACACCGTAGTTAAATATCACTCTAAGAATTACAGTCCATAATCAACAAACTGAACAAGAGCAATTTGAAAATACTCCTTTGCACATAGTAGCAGATACACAAGTAAATACATACACAAATACATGTGTCTCCAGTTCAGATCATCCTGGATACATGAAGAAAGATCCACAACACGTTAACAGAATTTGTTGTTCTTCTTACGCTGACAGAAAAGGGTAGCATACAAGTTAAGACTTCATCGTATATGTACGTATATGTAAACTTTCCTGCTCATAATCTGTGCAGCATTCAGATAAAGGAGAATCTCAATGACTTTTTAAATGTATTTAACTTTAGTAAACAAAAAGCAAATAGTCTTTGTCCTTGTGCCTCCTCCTGCTACCCTCTTCCTTATTATCTTTTCTCTGATGGCACTCAAATACCACAAAAGCTATTGCTGTTTCTCCTACTCAGCTCGAACTCAGCATCAGAAGCTATCAGAAAGCAATGGATTTCAGTAGTACCATCATTATTTTTAACAACAAAAAAAAGAGTATTTAACAAAACTTTTTCGCCCAAAGAAAAGTAGTAACAACTACAGAGGACCTAAAATGTCTGTAAAGCAGCATCTTTCAGTCACTGAATTCACACACTTCTGCACTGACGTGCTGAGCCTCCCGGTGAGGCTCTTGTACCACGCAGCAGTTCAGGCTCTGAAGAGAGGGCGCTCCTCGCCTTCAGGGTGTCACACACAGGTGTGCCAATGGTGGTTTAAAATGTTACCAGCTGCAAAGCAATTATCCGGACAGTGTCAGACCTCGCTGAGATGAAGTCTGGTGGACTGCCAATCTGTTTTCAAGTTAAAAAATACTTGTCTTCATTTTTATTACATACACATAAATGGGCTTTAGTACTAGTTGATGATTTAAAAAAAAAAAGTCTGGTATCAGTATCAGATTGAAATAATAATGTTTTATATGGGAACTGATGAACAACATGACAGGATTTTTTTTTCTTCCTCCTAAAGGAAACACGCTTAAATGACCATTCTTTAATTTGTCTACTTTGATATTCAAACAGAGTTCCATCCACGTTCTGTCTAATTCCCTCCCCTCACTTCTTCCAGACACTGGGGAAAAAATAATTGGTATTTGTTCTTCATAGCTCCATTTCATGTTCTCAGCTTTCACAGGCTGATGCACTAACTCAACTTTCTTGTTTGCGAGCCATTACACAGAGTTAATGAGCCCCCAGTACACTGCAAACAAGTACCTCTGGCATTACAGAGATCACGACCTTTCCTATTGCACTTTTGGAAATAATTCCGTTTAATTTTAGTAAGTATGTACGGAAACAATATTTTAACAGAGGAGTCTGTTCAAGAGTTACAAACAAAAGTACTCCTAAATTTTTATTAAAAATACTGTCATATCTATTTTTAGTAAGTATACCCTGCTTTCAAGTTCATTCTGCAATAGTACATAATCTTCATGTGTTTAGTAGTTAAGAATTCAGTGTGAAAACATTTAACAGCTGCGTTTAGATTGTGAAATGACAACTTTATAAGGTCCGTGGTCAGTCTCTCAAAGTCCCAGTCATCTGCAGGGATGTTATTAAGCCACTGAATACAGTAGGATTTCCGTTATTTAAAAGTTTGCTATCACTATAGGAAAAGCCTTCCTTTAAAAATTCACCTACCACCACTTTGGCCCCTGCCAAAGAAAATATACAGCTCTAAAAACAAAATCCCCTTCTAATAGAATAATGGCAATTACAAATTACTATTTTAACAGCACAGAAAATCCTGCTAAAAAGGATGTTAAGTTCTGGCAATATATCAGAAATAGATGTACATAACTACTGATTTTAAGATGTATTTTTTTTAACAGCCGTTTTCCTTGGAATTGATTATTCTGCAAGTAAAATGTACTTGCCAAACAAACAGCACACACATAACAACACACTAAGACCAGAATAAACAATCAGACCTCAGTATGAATTAACATGGGAACCAAATAATGCTTAGCAACAAGTCATCATTACACTGCACAACACAGCAGAAACTATGAAACTTTGTGCACACCACAGAGTTCTTCACCATCGCCATGGACATTTAAGTGTCAGAGCCTGTTTAACTGCGTTCCTCTACTTCACCAGCCACCTCAATTATTTTCATGCTCAAAGCATTTTGGGAAGCAACAAGCAAAACACAGTTACGACTGCAACATGACATACTTCAGAAAAAAATATATCATGAAAAAATGTCAGGCCACAAGAAGCTACCCAACTTCAAAGCTTCCCCGACTTCTTTTTTTTTTCCTCCTCTTGAGTCACTGTTGTCACTGCAGAAGCATCTCATCATACAAAGTCTGCTCTGAAATATGAGATTTGTTTCTACGCTGCAGTGACCTTAGAAGAACTACACAGAGATGCCTGAATCAGCTATCAGGTTTCAGCATGCACACACAATTCTGTAGCTCTGAGTCGGAGGCTAAGAGAAGTTGTACCGCTTCTTACAGAACTTTCACTTTAAAAACCAAATTTTAAACAGCTGGGATGTAAAGTTATATTCTTCAACAGCCTAAAAATAATTTTCAAGGGGAGCAAGTTAATTTAGCTGCAGCCCAACATACACAGAATTACACGATTGCAATCCAGGCCATGAGTGGAAAAAATAGAAAACTGTTTCTTCAAAACAGCTGCTGAGATATTGTCTGATACCTAGAAGCTCATACTGGTAACAAGATTTCTTAAAAGGAAATGCAGCTGAAAAACTTCACTAAACTTTGTTAGGTGTTAAAAATTCGATAGAAATATTCTACTTCAGAGGATGAGCAAAACTCATCATCAACTGTCAGAATACTCTGGCA